ATATATATAAAATTTGCTAATAATCATATTGAATGAAAGAATGAACAGGAACACCGACCTTATCTCGACCTTTCAACAAAGTTAATTCTATTATTACTATACATTTAATTACATCAGCACCTGTTGATTTTATCAATTGCACTGCTGCAGCCATAGTACCTTTAAATCATAAATATTTATATTACTCTCATTGATACATTCTAAAATAATACATAATTCATTAAAATGTAATTTTATTTTACCTCCAGTTGCCAATAAATCATCAACAATTAGCACTCTAGCTCCTTTATTTATAAATTCTGTTTGTAATTCAAATGTGGCCTGTACAAATAAAGGCAATTCATTTATATATGGAAAGTAATTGATACATAATCAATATTGTTTAGATTTAGGACATACTTCTCCATATTCTAATGTATACTTCTGTTGGATGACTTTGCCTGGAAGTTTACCCTTTTTTCTAATGGGCAAAAAAGGCTTATCCAATTCCATGGAAATTATGGGACCGAAGAGGAAGCCACGTGAATCCAATCCTACAACTAAATCGACTTCGAGAAATAAAATATGCTCCATAATTAAATCTTTCATTGCTCGTAATGCTGTGATATTATTAAACACGCCAAATATATCTCTGAAAGTGAAATAATTTATATAATATAATAAATATATGTATAGTAGAATCAAATTAATCTTTGATTTTTTGTTAATTTCAAGCTCTTCTTATCTTATCTACTTACCGGAAAATGATCCCAGGTTCGGGAAAGTCGGGGTAACTCTTTATAGCATTTTTCAGTATTTGCAATTTATCGTTCTTGTCCATCGTAATAACTGTATAATTTAGTAACTTAAAGTGATGGTAGCACTAATAATATAAAATCTGCCAATATAACTGATAATCTCAGATATATTAGAAATAGATATTAATTTGTTAATAATTTATAATTTTTTAAAATTATTTTAATAAGGTACTTTTAACGATGGCAAATAAAAATTCTGATACTGATAGGTAAAAAAAAAAAAACGATTATTCTATTAATGTGTTTCAAATAATATACATCCTGCATACAGGTGGCCGACGTGGCCGTCTTCCTCGTACAGTGCACATACTGCACATAAAATATAATTAAGGTGCAGCCACAATAGAAGGAATAAGGATTTAAGAAATAAAGATTTCAATCTATCAGAAATCAGATAGACGATTTCTGATAGGTTGGAATTGTTATTCCTTATTCCTTCTATTGTGGCTACACCATTATGATTTTTGATAGGTTGAAATTTGTTATTTCCTGTTCTTATTGCCTGTGCTTTTCATTTTGTCCAGTGTTTCCAGCTTTACATATAACACATCGCGCGTGCACACAGCGCCAGCATTAGGCGTAAAAAGAGGAACTATGATGAAAAATAAAATGAAATGTTTTTCGATTATCCGAGGGTAATTGAAGAACGATGAAATTATCGACAATTAATAAAAATTTGCGATTATTAACCATATCACTGACGAAAGTATCTCGTAAATGTTTGGACCATTCTCTTGAAGATGACGCTATATATTTATTTTAAAAATTTCCGCCTAAAGATTACAAGCTTCAGCTGATATGATCGCAGCAATGATAATGTATTTTTACATGTGAGGTGACATTTCAAAAAACGTTATTTATTTATTTATTCTATATTTATTAGAAAGGGAAGATAAACAAGTTGGCCCAAAGATATATTAAATAAATGTTTATTTATATACTCTCGATCATTGCTTGTGAAAAGCACTCTCGATATTTAGTAAACAAAACGAAATAATAATGCAATATTATATTGTATAGTATATTATATATGTATATTTATTACTGTACAATAGAGAGTACACGCTATGTTTGCGAATATTAAAAACGATAAAAAAATAACATATTTACAGCATGTATAACATCAATAAAAAAAAAATTAGTACATTGTGTGTGTGTGTGTGTGTGTGTGTGTGTGTGTGTGGCGCG